AGGTACCATTATGCTTCAACTGTATGGTGCAGATACAACATTTGTCCTGTGGCCTAGCAAATGTTCCATAGACTTGTGGAAGCTTTTGCCAACATAGCGCTGCCCCAGGCTGATGGGAACTGTAGCCTGAAATATCTTGGGCAAGGCTGGCATTAGGGATTTTGACCACCTCAGCCAGGTTCTGTCCAGCCAACGAGAGCATAAAAACTCCTCCCTTCCCATCTCTGATGCTGAGGCTGCCATGCAGCCAGGGAGCCCGCTGGCAGGTGATTGGCAGGTGATTTGCATCATCTCTGCCCCCACATGAGGATGCTGAAATCCACTAAGCATGCCGGGGCCCGCTCACCTGCAACCAAAGCCACCCCTGTTTATTTCCGCCCCCTCCACTTCCTTCCAACAGGTGAGACTTCTTCATGAACTGGGCTGGAATGCTGGCAGACGCTCCGCTTGGGCAGAAAGTTGGCTCAGTTCACACTGAAAGGCAAACTCAGTTCATGTGCCCCTGAACAACAAGCAAAATTCGCCCTCCTCTGAATGTTGCAGTGCAGTCCTCCAGCCGAGTAACCTCCACAAACATGGATTTACTAGGGTAAAGAATGTGAAAAATACATATAATTGTGTGGAGATATAATAATAATAATAATAATAATAAGAAGAAGAAGAAGAAGAAGAAGAAGAAAGTAAGTAAGTAAATAAATAAATAAATAAATAAATAAATTTTTATTTATACCCTGCCCTTTCCGATCCAAAAACCAGGCTCAGGGCGACTAACAACAAATTTAAAACACTTAATTGATGCAACAAAAAACCCCAGCATAAAATGCAGTATAAAACATGAATAACAATAAATTCAGAATTCAAAAATCAGTTTAGGGGGAAAATCCATCAATTAAACATTAGATGATCTCCAGGGCTAGCTGGCTAAATTAGTCCTACTTGGGCCAGCGAGGAGGCCAGGGGAGAATTAGCTGTGGGATCCCAGAGCGGGTAATCTTCATAAAAAGGGGAGGGGGAGGGAAGAGAAGGGAAATAAAAGATCAGGCTAAGTTCAAATTGAAAGCCAGGTGGAATAGCTCTGTCTTACAGGCCCAACGGAAGGAGGTTAAATCCTGCAGGGCCCTGGTCTCATGGGACAGAGCATTCCACCAGGTTGGAGCCATCACTGAGAAGACCCTGGTCCTGGTGGAGGATAAACTGACTTCCTTAGGGCCCGGGACCTCTAAACTATGGTTGTTCATGGACCTTAAGGTCCTCTACGGGGCATACCAGGAGAGGCGGATTAGGGCAGGGGTGGGGCACCTCAAGCCCAAAGGCTAAGTGTGCCCCTACAGGGCTCTCTGGAAATTGAGTCCTTGGGGTGATGGAGGGGATTGACAAAAGGTCAACATTTGCTTATTCTTCTCAGTTGCTCCAGGCTTGCAGCAGTTCAGGCTGAACTGCAGGTCACTGAATGCTGAAAACTGATGTTAGGCTGGAAATTACTGCGGAAGAATAAATCAGCTGTTGGAGAACAGATTGCACCAGCTGGGCCTAGAGAAACAGAATGTAAAAAATCCTGGATAACTAATAGAAGCAGGAATTCTCAAAATCACTCCGCACCTCGGTTTCTCCTTGCAGCTTATACATCTACGGGGAAATCCCTTTAGAAATATCTTTGAACAAAGAGTTTTGGATGTTACAACTTCTAGCATTGCAAAGTGGTTGGCATGTGCCAGTTTTCAGTTACTAATGTGAAGGGTACATTTTGTTACCTGTGAGGTTGGCGTATCGAAGGGCTTGCACACGGTTATGTTTTGAACAAATGGATGCGATGATAACATTAGGTAGATTCTGTGGTGTCCCAGCTCAAGAGAGGATCTGTGTTTGCGAGAAACCGGGCAGATTATATGCTTGAATGTCGACTGCATGCAGACATCAGAGAAAATAATAATAATAATAATAATAATAATAATAATAAATTTTTATTTATATCCCGCCCTCCCCAGCCAAAGCCGAGCTCAGAGCGGCTAACAACAGTAAAATGATACAACATTCTAAAATAATTTCATTATAAAATCAGTTCAATTCAGATTAATGGCAACCATTGGGCTAGAGTTCTGTGAGGATTGCCAAAGGAGGGGGTCAGGCTGTGCCCTGGCCAAAGGCCCTGTGGAAAGATGTCAAGTCCCGTAGGGCCATAGTCTCTTGTGACAGAGAGTTCCACCAGATCGGGGCCATGGCCAAAAAAGCCCTGGTTCTAGTTGAGGCCAGCCTAACCTCCCTGTGGCCCAGGACCTCCAAGATGTTTTTGTTTGAAGACCGTAAGGTCCTCCGTGGGACATACCAGGAGAGGCGGTCCCGTAGGTACAAGGGTCCTAGGCCGTATAGGGCTTTAAAGGTTAAAACCAGCACCTTAAACCTGATCCTGTACTCCACCAGGAGCCAGTGCAGCTGGTATAGCACCAGGTGAATGTGATCTCGCAGCGAAGACCCCGTAAGGAGTCTCGCTGCTACATTCTGCACCCGCTGGAGTTTCTGGGTCAGTCTCAAGAGCAGCCCCACGTAGAGCGAGTTACAATAATCTAGTCTGGAGGTGACCGTCGCGTGGATCACAGTGGCTAGGTCAGGGCGAGAGAGGTAAGGAGACAACTGCTTAGCTTGGCAGAGATTAAAAAATGCTGCCTTTCTTATAGCTGCAATCTGCGCCTCCATGGAAAGGGAGGTGTCGAAGATTACACCCAAACTCTTAACGGACGGTGCTGGCACTAATTGCACCCCCGCAAGAGATGGGAGTTGCCCCCCAATCTCATATCGTCTCAAGCCAGCCAAAGGACCTATGGTTACTTAGGTCCCATTTTGTTGGCATCCGTCTGTCTTGGGAGACAATGGAGAGATGTGCATTCAGGGGTGAACTCAGCGCCTGCTGTGGCTGTAGAGACCGATAGGGGAGAGACATGTTTTGTTGCAGCCGGGGCAGATGAAGGCATCGGGCTGCGCTGCAGACAGGATGTCTGCGCTCCTCCCAGAGATCATTCCTCCTCTGGTCACTGCTGTGGATATACAACCTGTCGGTCTCCAGGCACTGCGGTCATCTGCAAGGGATTCCCACACAGTGGGGTTGATATTGTCAGCCTTCGGGTCACTTTTGCCGACATCTTTGTAGTGCAGAGTTGGTCTCTTTTAACCAAACAGCATGAAATCATAAGGGACAGTGCGAGGTGACTCTCTCAGGGCAGAGAGTTCCACAGTCTGGTGGTTCCCACCGAAAACGCCCTTTGCATTGTTCCCACCAAGGGAGGTTCGCTTATGGTAAGATTAGGGATGGATGGATCGGTCCGTTTCAGTTCTCTCTGTTCTCATTTTTCCAATCTTAAGCTCAGTTCTCCACAAGCCCTCATGAGCTCCCGTCAGCATTTTAGTGCAAATATTTCCCAAACATTAGGAAGGACTTCTTGATAGCAAAAGCTAGAAGGTGGTGTGTGATGGCCTGGGACTCGGGCTCAGACTCGGAGCCGGAGGAGTCTCAGTCTGCACCGGATCCTTTGCCTCAGGTGGCATCTGGACCAAGTCTGGGGCCTGATTGTGAAGAGCCCCAGTCTGCACAGGTTCCCCTGCAACAAGCACCAGCTGGGCCGAGTCAGGGGCCTGAGCCTGCCCTGGCTCCAGATGCGGGGATTCCCTTGTTGCCCCCAGCTGGGCCATCACTTACAGCTGCTCCACTACTGGTTGGGTCAGGGGAGGCTGAGGCGGCCCCTGTGTCGAGTCACCCACCGACGTCTCCCAAGCTGCAGAGACTGAGGTCTGAGAGAAGGAGAGACCTGAGTACTCGCAGGAGGAGTGCTCGCCTTCGGGCGAGACAGGGAGTTGAGTGGCCGGGGGATCAGGACCAGCCGCTACCCCGACAAAGATAAAAGGCTGCCGGACCCCGTCCCAGGTTGTGGGAGCAACATTGCTGTTTGCCAGAACCTGCCTGAGACCTTGTGCCTGACCTTGCCTGGTTTCCTGCCTCATGTCCTGCCTTGGCCCTGTTGGACTGACTCCTCGCGGAATCCTTGGATTTGGGACCGGATCTGGATCGCGTGGCTTGGGTTAGCCCCCGGGCCCAGCACCTTCCTTTTTGAACAGGCGTTGGATGGCCACCTGTCGGGGATTCTTTAGCTGTCATTACTTCATTGCATGGGGTTGGACTAAATGACCATTGGATCCCTTCCAACTTTACGACTGTGATTCCAAGTCTGCTCCCCTGAATGCTAGAACCTGCGCATTGCACATGGCTGCTTTGCTCAGGCCTGTGTGGTGTAGTGGTTCAGAGCGGTAGACGCGTAATCTGGTGAACCGGGTTCGCCTCCCTGCTCCTCCACATGCAGCTGCTGGGTGACCTTGGGCCAGTCACACTTCTCTGAAGTCTCTCAGCGCCACTCACCTCACAGAGTGTTTGTTGTGGGGGAGGAAGGGAAAGGAGAATGTGAGGCGCTTTGAGACTCCTTAAGGGTAGTGATAAAGCGGGATATCAAATCCAAACTCCCCTTCTTCTTCTTCTTCTTCTTCTTCTTCTTCTTCTTCTTCTTCTTCTTCTTCATTCCCAGAATCCTGAAAACCTTCCGAAAGATGGGTGAGCAACGATGTGTCCATCATCATACCCCATAGCTGTCAACTGTCCCTTATTTGGCAGGAAAGTCCCTTATCCCAGCGCTGTGTCCTGTTTCAAAGAGCCCCTCAAACTGAGCCAGATTCCTTCTGAAAATCCGTGTCACTTTGCAACAGATGGAATCCAACAGGCCACGCTGTGTCCTATTTAAAAAAACCTGCATCTAAAGCCAAGAAAAACAGACTGCCATGTGGCAAAAGGTTCACATCCCGGGTCAAGAAAAAATAAAGGAGTGGGGGGGGGGAATTTTAAGAGAAGGCTACACAAGTGCAACAAGCACAGTGGGAATTTCCAGCAAAAAAAAACCCTGTGAGCAATCAGATCCTTCTCCCTCTGATGGCACCGCCCTAAATAAGCATCATATAATGTCAGAACTGCCAGCTGTTCCTTTCCAGCTGGTTAAGACCTTGCCAGGATGAAGACTTTCACTGCCGTACTCTTGGTGGTTGCAGCCCTGTGCCTGGAGCAAGGTGAGTTTCACTGGGGTTAACCCAAGGAGAGGTGGGGAGATTTTGAGAAGGGGCCTGGGAAACATATTTGAATAGTTATAGGCATGGAGTGCACCCTTTGTTGTTGAGGTGCTGCAATGGAGAGAGAGAATACCCACTGCTGAAAACAGGTTTTGGAGCTGCTTTAAATCCTCAGCTCTTTGCAGGTAGGGAAGAAATTGACTATGTTTGCATTTTAAGAGAAGCCACTCATTTGCACTTCTAGGACCAATGCATGGACCAAAGCACAGATTATCCATTGCAATTTGCACCTCTCTGATTTTTGCAGGGTGCAGTTCCCCAGCCAACGAGTTGCAACATTCGTGTGCATCAAAATGCATACATTTGTGGAAATAACGTGCAAAAATGCTTCATACTGGGGGAATTGATTGCAAAACTGTGTAAACGGGGGCAAAATGTGTGTTTATTTTTTATTTTGTTTGTTTGTTTTTGTTTTATTTATTTCAAAACCAAAATTTTTTGCAAACATCAGATTCAAAATCCATATTCATTTTCTAACATAAGCCTATTACATAGATTACCTAAATTGAAATATATCTAATTGCTCTAGGCTTCCCTTTGCTGTATGTACCGGTAAATACAACACAATTAACAAATTATATTATAAATGATATTATAGGTTCCCATATACTGGGGCAAAAAGTGTGTTTATTGGAATAAATTAGCACTAAAATGCCAATGGAAATAGCTGCAGAAATGTGGAAAGCTGAATTTAAGAATGCAAAGATCAGATTTGATAGGCTTGTCCATCCTTAAGTGCAACTGTTCTGCTTGGGAGCTGCTGGCTGAAACATCTCTAACTGAAGATGAAGCAATCCACCGTATTTTTCGCTCTATAAGACACACCAGACCGCAAGACACACCTAGTTTTTGGAGGAGGAAAACAAGAAAAAAAATATTCTGGATCTCAGAAGCCAGAAGAGCAAGAGGGATCGCTGCGCAGCGAAAGCAGCAATCCCTCTTGCTGTTCTGGCTTCCGTGATAGCTGCGCAGCCTGCATTCACTCCATAACACACACACACATTTCCCCTTACATTTTAGGAGGGAAAAAGTGAGTCTTATAGAGCGAAAAATACGGTACCTAAATCTGTTGACAAACCCCGTTACACAGGCTCTTAAAGCACCTGCCTTTTAGTGAGTGGGGGTGGTCCATGTTCAACCTCGTCCAGCTTTTTCTATTCCCAGGCAGGCAGCCCTGCTATCTAAGCGTCTTTCACTGGACTTGGGGCTTTTAACTTGCTAAGTAAAAGGTAAAGGTACCCCTGCCCGTACGGGCCAGTCGTGTCCGACTCTGGGGTTGCGTGCTCATCTCGCTTAAGAGGCCGGGAGCCAGCTCTGTCCGAAGACACTTCTGGGTCACGTGGCCAGTGTGACGAAGCTGCTCTGGCGAGCCAGCACCAGCACAGCACACGGAAACGCCGTTTACCTTCCCGCTATAAAGCGGTACCTATTTATCTACTTGCACTTAGGGGTGCTTTCGAACTGCTAGGTGGGCAGGAGCTGGGACCGAACAACGGGAGCTCACCCCGCCGCGGGGATTTGAACCGCCGACCATACGATCGGCAAGTCCTAGGCTCTGTGGTTTAACCCACAGCGCCACCCGCGTCCCTTTAACTTGCTAGCTATTGGCTATTTATTGCCACTGAGCAGTGGTTATTCTGCGGCTAGCTCAGACTTCACACAGGTAAGCAGACAGAGGGCTCTTTGCAACAACCAGTAGCAGCCGCAATTTCCTTACAGAGCGCAAAGGAATATAATCACTTGCCAAATAAGCAAATAAAATCCCCAAGCGACAGTTTGAAATGTCGTGACTTAAAACTCAGGGAGCATCTTCACGGTCCTCATTTTAACGACGGTCTCTAGACATTTTGCTTGGCATGGAAAGATGCTGTGCTTTGCACATTTTTAAATGGAGGAGTGCTGGGAAGGTTTTCTTGCAAACTGGACTATGTAGATTAAAGTTCTACAGGTAAAGGGTGTGGCTTGGAGATAGAGCACCTGCTTTGCATGCAGATGATCCCTAATCCAATCCATTTCAATCCCTGGTGTCTTCAGGTAAGGCTGGGAGAAATCTGACAAACTGGAACATGTCCAGAGGAGGGCAACCAAAATGGTCAAAGGCCTGGAAACAATGCCTTATGAGGAACGGCTAAGGGAGCTGGGCATGTTTAGCCTGGAGAAGAGGAGGTTAAGGGCTGATATGATAGCCATGTTCAAATATATAAAAGGATGTCACATAGAGGAGGGAGAAAGGTTGTTTTCTGTTGCTCCAGAGATGCGGACACGGAGCAATGGATCCAAACTACAAGAAAGAAGATTCCACCTAAACATTAGGAAGAACTTCCTGACAGTAAGAGCTGTTTGACAGTGGAATTTGCTGCCAAGGAGTGTGGTGGAGTCTCCTTCTTTGGAGGTCTTTAAGCAGAGGCTTGACAACCATATGTCAGGAGTGCTCTGATGGTGTTTCCTGCTTGGCAGGGGGTTGGACTCAATGGCCCTTGTGGTCTCTTCCAACTCTATGATTCTATGATTCTATGAAATCCAGGAGGGTCACTGTCAGTCAATGCAATGCTGAGCTAAGATGAACCAGATGGTTCAACTCAGCCTAAGGCAATTTCCTCAGTTCTTCTTAATTGAGGTTCCCACTCCGTGCCCAGATCTTAATTTACTTTCCCTTGATAAGAGAAAGCTTGGAAAACCTGCTCAGCCTGAGGCTGAGGTTGTGTTCTTTCACACCTTCTGGGTTGTTTGTGACGGTGTGTCAGATGTTGAGTTTGCAGGTCTGTGGCTGTCAATGTATGGCTACAAATGGCAGGAATCATGTCTGAAATCCTTTGGGTCTAACTAAAGCCCAATAGTGGTGATTCCCAATAGAACATTCTTCTAAGTATGCTATGCTTCTAAATATTCTAAAACAGGGGTCAGCAACCTTTTTCAGCCGTGGGCTGGTCCACTGTCCCTCAGACCATGTGGTGGGCCGGACTATATTTTGAAAAATAATATGAATGAATTCCTATGCCCCACAAATAACCAAGAGATGCATTTTAAATAAAAAGACACATTCTACTCATGTAAAAACACGCTGATTCCCGGACCGTCTGCGGGCTGGATTGAGAAGGCGATTGGACCGCATCCGGCCCCTGGGCCTTAGGTTGGCTACCCCTGTTCTAAAACAACATATTAAAATACAGTAATGCATCAAACATTAAAAGCTTCCCTAAACAGGGCTGCCTTCATATGTCTTCTAAAAGTCTAGTAGTTGTTGTCCTCTTTAACATTTGTTGGGAGGGCATTCCACAGGGCGGGTGCCACCACCGAAAAGGCCCTCTGCCTGGTTCCCTGTAACTTGGCTTCTCGCAGGGAGGGAACCGCCAGAAGGCCATCGGCGCTGGACCTCAGTGTCTGGGCGGAACGATGGGGGTGGAGACACTCCTTCAGGTATCCTGGTCCGAGGCTGTTTAGGGCTTTAAAGGTCAGACCAACACTTTGAATTGTGCTCAGAAACGTACTGGGCGCCAGTGTAGGTTTTTCAAGATTGGTGTTATATGGTCTCGGCGGCCGCAAGGCAAGAGGTTCATAGCTGAACGGAAGCTACAAAGAGGTACCTGCTGTTGGCACACCCTTCCCACGAAGCGTTTACAGACAAGGTGGGGCGATCTCACCCATCAGACTCTGTCACTCTCTGTTGCGATCACACATTCACACTCTTGTCTGGTGAGTGGATCTCATCCTACCTACGAAGGCGCTGCCTGGCTCTCAGTGACAAGACTATGTCCTGCCTCATCGCCTTCCCCTCTGACTCCACTTCCTCCCGTCCAACTCCTCCCTCTGGCTGGGCAAAGTGTTCTGCCCTCCTCGATTTGGCTCTGCACTCCACTGGAAGGTCCAAAAAGAGATCTAGAAGATCAGCTTCTCCCTCTCTGACATCTAGGGTCACAAACGGGGAACACCTCTCCCTCATCTCTGGGTACCAGCCTTCCAGCCCTGCAGTCCTTGCTCCTCTTTCTTCTCCTCCTCTAACAGCAAGGGGTGATGGAAGTTTTAGTCTGGCAACATCTGGAGAGCCAAAGGTTCCCCAGACCTGCTGCAGAGCTTTTCTTCAGTTTAGAAGAAGGATGCTTAAGGTAGGGACAATGCCGAGGTGTCTGAAAATATACATGAGTTCGGGTCATAGTTGGAGAAGAGCACTTCTGCCTCTCTTGATACCAGAATCCAGGATCAAGTGGCCAAGCATGATGGGAACTGTGGTCCAGCAATATCTGGGGGGCTGCAGATGTTCTACATCCATTTAGACAGCCTTCATCAACCTGGAGTCTTAGGGTTTTTTGTGTGTTGATTTTATTGAGAACTACCATTATACACCTGTATTAAATGGAAACCGAAGAATGGATGCTTTTGAATTCTGGTGCTGGAGGAGACTCTTGAGAGTCCCATGGACTGCAAGAAGATCAGACCTATCCATTCTGAAGGAAATCAGCCCTGAGTGCTCAGTGGAAGGACAGATCGTGAAGCTGAGGCTGCAATACTCTGGCCACCTCATGAGAAGAGAAGACTCCCTGTTAAAGACCCTGATGTTGGGAAAGATGGAGGGCACAAGGAGAAGGGGACGACAGAGGACGAGATGGTGGGACAGTGTTCTCGAAGCTACCAGCATGAGTTTGACCAAACTGCGGGAGGCAGGGGAAGACAGGAGTGCCTGGCGTGCTCTGGTCCATGGGGTCATGAAGAGGCGGACACGACTAAACAACACACAACCCATAATTGTGGACCCAATCCTTTGGACTACTCTGCCAACAGACTCCTTTGGCTTTCATTTTTAAGCACCTACTGAGAACCACTTAATTCTGTCTGGCTTACGCAGGCACCTAAGAATGCATCTTTGCACAACAGTTCCCCGATTTCTGGTTTCAATTTTTTAATAACCCTACAGTTCTTATTTTTTAAGAACCCTACAGTTTTTTAAGAACCCTACAGTTCTTAAAAAAAACAATTTTTTAAGAACCCTACAGTTCTTATTATACTGTTTCATGAGTTTGACCAAACTGCAGGAGGCAGTGGAAGACAGGAGTGCCTGGCATGCTCTGGTCCATGGGGTCACGAAGAGTCGGACACGACTAAACAACAACAACAACAAACCATTCAGTATTCCATTAAAACTTGTTCACACTGTTGACTAAACAACAACAAAATGGAAACACAAATTACCCAGCAATACTCCAGAGCAGACAGAAGGACTACAACTCCCATCAGGACTTTCTGGTAGGAGCTGATGGGAATTGTAGTCCAAAACATCCTGAGGGGGCCAGGCTGGTGGCACAGCTGGCTCTGGAAGCCCCTGCAAAAGTTGTACTGAGGGCAGGATCAAAGGGTTGCCTGTATGGCACAGCATGTCGAAATATGAAGCAATGTTTGTGGAAGGTCTGGTTGTTCTTGTATCTCAGCGTCTCTTCGTGAGAGTGAAGTTTATGGACTGGTCTCGTGGCTTGGAGCGAGTCAGCTCCACCATTAAACCTCACCCTGCCCTCTCCCTTCCCATAACTCAGGCACCCCGAAGCTCAGGGGCCCCATTGTTTTGAAGTTCTTTCCCATCAAAGAGGCACCTCACGCCCACTGGCATCACAAGAGCACCCAGTATCACCCTAATAATCTCCGACTTGCCAAACACCCAACTTTAAAAAGGAGGGTGGCGCCCGAAACAGACCGAGTGCCTCACAGGTAAACAACTTTAGGGAACAGAAGGGATGGCTCAGCCAAGCGCTTGATGGCGAAGAGATAGGGAGAGTTGTTTCACAGAGGGAAAAATTGATGAGTGGTAGAACCAGGACAAATCAGGAAAAGGCCTCCCCTTCTTCCTATTTGTAACTGCATCTATATAAATCGTTGCCACAAAGCATTCTGTGGCATCGGCAGAATTATAATGTCTAGATTCAAGCAGTAAAGGTAAAGGGACCCCTGACCATTAGGTCCAGTCGTGGCCGACTCTGGGGTTGTGGTGCTCATCTCACTTTACTGGTCGAGGGAACCGGCGTACAGCTTCTGGGTCATGTGGGCAGCATGACTAAGCCGCTTCTGGTAAACCAGAGCAGTGCACAGAAACGCCGTTCACCTTCCCGCCATACCTATTTATCTACTTGCACTTTGACGTGCTTTCAAACTGCTAGGTGGGCAGGAGCAGGAACTGAGCAACGGGAACTCACCCCGTCGCGGGGATTCGAACCGGCGACCTTCTGATCGGCAAGTCCTGGTTTTACCCACAGCGCCACCTCTGTCCCTTAGAATGAAGCAGTACTACTGCTCTATTCTGCCTTGGTCAAACCACACCTGGAATACTAGGTCCAGTTCTGGGCACCACAATTTAACAAGGATGTTGAAAAGAGGGAACTTGTGTAGAGGAGGGTGACCCAGAAGATCAAGTGTCTGGAAAAGATGCTTTATGAGGGAGCTGGGGATGTTTAGCCTGGAAAAGGGGAGCCTGAGAGGAGATAAGATAGCCATCTTCCAATATCTCAAGGGCTGTCCCATGGAAGATGGAGCAAGCTTGTTTCCTCCTGCTCTGGAGGGTAGGACTCGAACCCATGGCTTCAAGTTACAAGGAAGGAGATTCAGACTAAACATCAGGAAGAATTCGCTGATAGTAAGTGGAATAGACTCCCTCAGGAGGTTGCTGACTCTCCTTCCTTGGAGCTTTTTAAGCAGAGGTTGAATGGTCGTCTGCCATGGATGCTTTACCTGAGATTCCTGCATCAAAGGGGTTGGACTAGATGACTCATGGTGTCCCTTCGAACCCTACAGTTCTATGATTCTATGAAAGTATGGATTTAAAAGGAACTTAGAGAAATTCATGGCCAGGGGGAGAGTTCTATCAATGGCTATTAGCCATGTGGCTAAACAGAGCCTTCAGAGATGGACAGCATATCTCTAAACCTGGGATTATTATTAGACTACAACTCCCATCATCCCTGGCCACGACTGATGGGACTTGGAGTGCAGCAACATCTCAAGGACTACAGATTCTCCTATTCAAAGGGTGGCTGGGAACGGCCACTTAGATTTCCCACAATGCCCCTCAGCAAGCTGGTATTGGGAGCATTCTTTGGAATTAAAATGGCAGCTGAACCCAGCCACTCTGAGCCCCCGACCAGGAAATATTTTTAATAAAGGGAGTCCCGGGACAGGTGTCAGTAGAGGGGTCTGCCACTGTGTTGGGGTTCTGGCAGTGGCCCAGGGGTCCGCAGTGCTGATGCCAGCCCTGGTGCTCCCCGCCCCCCCGCACACATCCAAAGAATATTCGGTAGAAATCCTGTAGCTATAGCAACCTAATACCTCCAACTTCCCCACCTCTTTTTTTTGCAGTTTCGTCCTTGCACTGTTACACGTGTGAAAAAGCGAAATCCCACGAGGAATGCACCAAGAACAGGTGTTCGGATATGAACAGATATTGCGTGTCATTGGCCCACGAAGGTCCTGGTAAGTTTCATGAACTGTTTGCAGGAAGGCAGAGAGAAAAAGGAGCTGTACTCCATCGGCCTGGCTGGCTGGAACTGAAGATTTGATAATGATAATAATAATAATAATAATAATAATAATAATTTTTATTTATATCCCGCCCTCTCCAGCCGATGCCGGGCTCAGGGTGGCTAACAACAATAAAATAGTACAACATTCTAAAATCATTCCATTGTAAAATTAATTCAACTCAGAATGATGGCAACCATTAGGCTAAAGTTCTGTGAAGATTGCCAAAGGAGGAGGTCAGGCTGTGCCTTGGCCAAAGGCCTGGAGGAACAGCTCTGTCTTGCAGGTCCTGCGGAAAGATGTCAAGTCCCGCAGGGCCATAGTCTCTTGTGACAGAGCGTTCCACCAGATCGGGGCCACGACCAAAAAAGCCCTGGCTCTGGTTGAGGCCAGCCTAACCTCCCTGTGGCCCGGGATCTCCAAGATGTTTGTATTTGAAGACCGTAAGGTCCTCCGTGGGACATACCAGGAGAGGCGGTCCCATAGGTATGAGGGTCCTAAGCCGTATAGGGCTTTAAAGGTTAAAACCAGCACCTTAAACCTGATCCTGTACCCCACCGGGAGCCAGTGCAGCTGGTATAGTGGTATAGTATATTGATCAATTAAATTGTCAGTTTTGCATAGTGAGAAAGACAACGTTGACTTTTTAATGACCCTTTAGTCTTATTTGTTTTACGGAAAGGTTGGATGGGATGGCCTATTCCAGGAGATTTCGTTTTGGTTCGTTTGTGGGGAGATTAGATGACGTTGGCCATTTAATGAGCATTTGCACTGATTTGTTTGCATTGAAGCACGTGCTACCAAGCACATTCCAGCACGTTCTATGCATCAAATTCCAGCAAAAAGCCCAGTCTTTTGGGAAAGGAAAACCTCCCAACCATTTACGATTGCTCAACCTGAATTTGCTGGCATGTGACTGAATCCCACCTGAACATAGTAGTGTTGTGGAAGTACCTATGGATAGGATTTTTAAAAAGTATATCTCCTTTATTGAAAGATAAAAAGTACATAATCATAAGTGCACAGAGTAAGATAAGACACAAAGGAAGAAGCAGGAAAAAAAGAAATCGCACCCATGTAGAAAACAAAACAGAATGAGAGGTGGGAACCTGTATACGTTACAAAAAAATGCTATTGTCATTTACTAGACCTAAACCTATTACGGTATTTTAATGAATACCAAATTAAATTTGCCCATGGCAAGCCTAGGTTTGTATGCAACTTGTTTGTGTGTAGCGAGTTTGTACATATATTCAGTCCAATCGTGAAGCCTCATTTTTATTTTTCCAGTTCATCGAAACCTGTCTTTGTGCCGTAGTAAGGCCACGGGTGGCGCTGTGGGTTAAACCACAGAGCCTAGGACTTACCGATCAGAAGGTCGGCGGTTCGAATCCCCACGACGGGGTGAGCTCCCGTTGCTCAGTCCCTGCTCCTGCCAACCTAGCAGTTCGAAAGCACGCCAAAGTGCAAGTAGATAAATAGGTACCACTCCAGCAGGAAGGTAAATGGTGTTTCTGTGCGCTGCTCTGGTTTCGTCAGAAGCGGCTTAGTCATGCTGGCCACATGACCCGGAAGCGAGATGAGCACCGCAACCCCAGAGTCGGCCACGACTGGACCTAATGGTCAGGGGTCCTTTTACCTTTTTTAAGGCCACGGTCCATTCATAGTGTTTATTTGTTAGATAACCGTTCAAAAGGATAATTTACTCTGCAAATTTAAGATTATTCTGTAAAGTCGTGTTGATTGTCTCTGTTACCTTCTGCCAAAAATTTATCAATATGAGATCTTGTACAAACATACGTTTTAGAGAAGAATTATTCCTGCGACATCTCCAGCAGCTAGATGTCTTAGATAACCCTTTCATATAAAAGCATACTGGAGTCCAGTAAATTCTAAATATTATTTTGTGTTATATGGGTCTTAATTTGAGGTGCAGAGAACCCTTGTTATAGAACTTAACAGTTTCCCATTATTTAGTCGAGATTGAGATCCCCAATTCTTTATCCCATTCCTCTTCTATTTATTTATTTTAATTTATTTTAATTTTTAAAAAGTATATCTTTATTGATTTAAAATAAATACATTTATGGGAAGACAGACAGACAGACAAACAAACAAACAAACAAACAAAAACAAACATACAATCAAACAAACAAATAATAGAGAAGTCAAACAAACAACCACAATATAAGAAACAACAAAATTAATATAACTAACATCATTTATATCCATTCCTCTTTTAATAACTGCGTATCAAACTGGTTTGCTACTAATAAACATTTATATAAGACAAAAGTGGGGTTTTTAATAATGATGATGATGATAATAATAATAATAATAATAATAATAATAATAATAATAATAATTTATTTGTACCCCGCCCATCTGGCTGGGTTTCCCCAGCCACTCCGGGCGGTTTTATTGCTATGTAAGAAAGTGCCCGTGGATAGGATTGTGCTGTTCTAAGTCAGTGAAATTCATCTCCAAACAGGGCTGACTGTTGCCACTGAACCCCACAGCAATTTCTCATTCTCCCTCCCTTAAATCCTCTTGTTTTGTAGGCAGTGAGTTTTCCGTCAGCAAGTGGTGTGCAGACGTCTGCCCAAGCAACTTTGAGATCAAGGGTGGCCAAAGGGGCATCGAGACCCAATGCTGCGTTTCCGATTACTGCAACAGCAGTGCTCCCAGCAGCGTGAAAACCAGCTATGCTCTCATGATCATGGCGATACTCGCCAGCTTTGCCTGTATCTTCCGGACGGGGCTGTGATGGGGGTGGGGGTGGTAGAGATCGCCAAATGTCTTTTTGGAAGCTCATGGGAAGCACTAATCTCCACGTCTTTTTTTTACAAGGCCTGATTCTGGCTTCGCTGAGAGCTATGCTACAAACATGATACGGGATGCTATTGCCTTTTTTTGTACGTGATGGAGGCGGGGGGGCCGCCATTTTCTGTAACGCTTGCCGATGCGAAAAAATAAAAACCTCTCTGCGTGCCGCTAAGGTTTACAACAAAGGGGGGAACCTTTTTTTATGGGGGGGGAATTAAAAAATACGACCTCCCCTACTGCATTTTGAAGTGGCCCAGTCCAAAATACAACCATCCTGTTTCTGTGTAATGGGTTGAGTGACTCTTTGAGACTTCTTGTGTCCAAAGTCTGTTTCGGGGGCTTAATCCAGCCCCTGTGGCAGTTTATTTCCGGGGATAAAATCCTAAAAAAAACACCTTTGGCCCTCACGGCCCTTCACTTCATCAAATCTGGCCCTCTTTGAAAAAAGTTTGGACCCCACTGCTGGCTTAGACAAAACTGATTCTCTGTTTCTGACCTTGTCCTCATTTTCTTCTGAGTCTGTGTGTAGACTCGGGTTCCCATGGCCTGTTTTTTTCTCAACACGACACAAATATTCACACACACACACACACACACACACACACACACACACACACACACACCCTCTTCTTTTGACATTGCCTTGCAGGGGTACCAACTTGAATAAAATGGGGGGGGCAGGTGAACCCCACGCTGCACAATCGATCACAAGACACAGCACATTCACACCATTTGAATGGCAAGGCCCATCAACCAGGAGGGGGGGGGCAGTCCCCTCCAATACTTTTTGGGTGGAGCCAAAGGGACGAGACCCTTATAGGTCCAATGTTGCTTTGCAGTGGACTTATTATGCTGGCAGCATGTTCCTTTGCCTTACTAATGTCTCCCCTCCACACTGCGAGGGAGAAATTTGTTCAGTTTGCATTTGGATACAAAATTCCTTCATCTGCACCTTCCCAAACCACAAACACATGAACCGAAAACGGGACTATCCTTCAAAACGGGCACATCTTGAAATGTCGCAACGCTGCACAGGCTACGAGAAAACGGTGCAAACAAATTCACGGGAGTACGAAGTGGGGGGCGGAGGGGGCGGGCTGCCCCGGGTGCCACTCTGGGGGGATGACTGTTAGGAGCTCGGCCTACACTCAAGTAGGACCCTGGCAGAGACACATGCCTGACTGGCATGTTCTTTCCCTCCTGGTCTTTCGTTTGGGAGCTTCAAAAGCTTTCTTCAGCCCGAACATCACAGCGACCAGTGCCAACTGACACCGGCACACTTAGGGATCCGCAGTTTGTGCAGTTGCGTAACAGACCTCAGCAACTCAGCATTTTGGCTAATCTGCTTTATTTACATATAAATACACACGGAGCACTGCAACATGGCTCCCTCTCTCTCTAGCATCAGACAGCAAAGAGAAAAAGAACAAAGGACAATAGTCCCACTTCACGGAACACAGTAGCACAAACATCCTGTCTCCGTCACTTCCCACTCTGTGGAGTCAAAACATACAACATCATGTGAAAGACAACAATCCCATGACTGCAATCACGGAGCAGGAATTCTAACAGTGACAAGATGGCCCCTGCCTTCCCCTAGCTGTAGAGCGGCCGAGGGCGTGCGCAATCAGTATGGGTGTCACTCATGTGGCGTCCCTACGGGTTGTCGCTCTCGCGTGCCATACATAAAGGCGTCCGTATGGGCTGCCTCTCGCACGGCGACCGTATGGGCTGCCGCTCTTGTGCACCGTTCATATGGGTGTCCGTACAGGCTTCTTCTTGCACAGCGACCGTATGGGCTGTTGCTCTCGCACGCCGTTCATACGAGCGTCCGTATGGGCTGCCTCTCGCACGGCGACCGTACGGGCTATGGAGTGCATGTGCACTCCATACAGGATGCTGCACAAGTGCATTCCGTATGGGATGCTGCGTGGGCACAGCCCGTACGGATGTCGTGCGGGAACCACCGGGCGGTTTGCCCCGCCCCTTGGCGTCCCGTCCCGGGTGCCAGAGAGGGTTCCTCCGCTACTGAACAAATGCATTTGTTGGTGAAAAGAACAGGCAAAACGCATTATCTGCTGGGAAATCGCTTGCCAAAATGTGCCTGTTAGGAGAAAGCGGGACTAAAATGCTGGTGAGGACTTTAAAGTGAAAGCACGAATAGGTGTGGGAATGTGGCAAACTGAATTTGAGATTGGAAAAACGGGGAACTAGTAAGATCCTTCCTTCTTGCCTTCCTCGTTGGTGGTACCCCACCCATTAGACATCAGGGAGATTCGGGGCTGATTTTAGCATCACGAACGGACGTGCGAAAACAGTCATAGAATTGTAGAGTCGGAAGGGACCCCAAGGGCCTAACCCCCTGGTCCAGTCCTTGGGATTGTGAGCCTTGACGCTCCAAATCTTGCCTAACCAAAGTGGGACGGGCTATGGCTCTGTGGCAGCGCAGTTGCTTTGCATGCAGAAAGTCCCTGGCATTTCCAGATTAGGCTGGGAGAGGCCAGCCAGGAAAACAACTGATAATACCACTTGCCCAAGGAAATCATAATGCACATTCCATTGAAGAATGCTGCCCTCTAATGGGCAACAACAAAGAGCCGGATTTGGTTGTTTGGAGAAAAAGCAGCCCTGAAAATCAGGCATGGATTTGCTCAGGAATGGGGTCCAGACAATGAATTGCAACGAACAAAGAGCACTAAGTGTTGAGATCCTTTGAATCACACACGCCGCTTCTTTTGCGTCAGGCAGGAGCTTCCTTAAATCTTCCTGTCCCTGCTCTCCTCTCATAATCTCAGGGCTGGGGCGGGAGAGTGCTAGAGTCCTGTCTAGTCAAGTTGTGTGGGATCAATACCAAACTGTTACCTCCGAGGATGTGGACAGGCTGCTTGGACGAGTGAAACCAACCACCTGTCTCCTTGATCCTTGCCCATCCTGGCTTATAAAAGCTAGCCAGGAAGGGCTGGGCAATGGGCTTCGTGGGGTGGTGAATGCTTCTCTCCGTGAGGGAGCCTTCCCAGACCCGCTGAAAGAGGCGGTTATCAAACCGCTTCTTAAAAAACCATCTTTAGATGCTGCCAATATGGCCAACTATCGCCCAGTCTCAAATCTTCCATTCTTGGGGAAGGTGATTGAGCGAGTGGTTGCTGAACAACTCCAGGCATGCCTGGAAGAAGCAGACCATTTGGATCCCTTCCAGTCGGGATTCAGGCCTCATCATGGGACTGAAACTGCCTTGGTCACACTGGTCAATGATCTCCGGCAGGCTAGGGACAAAGGTGAGAGCTGTTTGCTAATTCTGCTGGATCTCTCAGCAGCTTTTGACGCCATCAACCATAACATCCTTCTGAACCGTCTAGAGGGGCTGGGAGCTGGGGGCACTGTCATACAGTGGTTCCGCTCCTTCCTCCTGGGCCATGTTCAGAAAGTGGTGGTGGAGGATGAGTGTTCAGACCCCTGGACCATCACTTGTGGGGTGCCTCAGGGTTCTGTCCTCTCCCCCATGCTTTTCAACATCTACATGCAGCCGCTGGGAGAGATCATCAGGGGGTTTGGGCTGGGTGTTCATCAGTATGTGGATGATACCCAGCTCTACCTCTCTTTCAAATCGGAACCAGTGAAGGTCCTGTGTGAGGGTTTAGAGGCGGTTGGAGGATGGATGGCGGCTAACAGACTGAGGGCACAAGGAGAAGGGGATGACAGAGGACGAGATGGTGGGACAGTGTTCTTGAAGCTACCAGCATGAGTTTGACCAAACTGTGGGAGGCAGTGGAAGACAGGAGTGCCTGCCGTGCTCTAATCCATGGGGTCACGAAGAGTCGGACACGACTAAATGACTAAACAACAACAACACTCCTTTCTGTGATGTATGTATGTTTCTGGGGATGGTCTTGGACTCCAGGGCTGGCAATTTAAAATGTCTATATAAGGGCAGACACACCTTGGTTCTGGGTCCTCCTCCTTTCCTGCGTGTGAAGGGGGCACCCCGTTGCAACAGTTAAATAAAGATCAGGCTTACTAGCTGCTTTGTTTCTCAATATTCTCTGGTTGGCCTCTGTTCTTTCCTCCGACCGATGGAGAACATACAAAGGACTCTATAAAGGCTCTTATTCCCCCATAAGGGAATAAGGGCAGATTTTCATTTATTACAGGAGTAAACTCTTTTTTAAAAATAAATAAATAATATTTATTACTTTTATAAATTACAAAAAGAGAGAAAAAAAGCAAAAAGCAAAAAACAAAATAAAAAACAGAGAAAAAAACAAAAAGAAGAAGAAAAACAAACAAACAAACAAACACCATACAATACAATATATAAACAATACAGAACACAACCTAAACTCAAAACTAAACACATCAAGCTAAACTAAACAAACCCCACTCCCCAAAACAAAAACAATTTAAAAACATACATCTTCTCTTTTCCATACGCTATCTTTCGTTCCCTTGTTTCCTCAGCCTCCTCACACCTCCCTTTTTGTGTTCCGCTTCTATTAATTGTTTCAGCAAATCCTTTCCATCTTTCTCCATTTTCTGTGATATTGTAAATAACGTATTATTTTAACCTTATTTTCCATTAAAACTAAATTACTTATATATGCTTAACGCCTTATAACATTTCTATTAAGCCCATAAAAAATAAAATAAAAAATAGAAAATCATTCCACCATTCTTCTGTCACTCATTAATTTTACCATAAGTCTATATAATAACTTTAAATTTTCCAATCTTCTTCCACCATCTCTTCTCCCAGGTTTCGGATTCTGCCAGTCCTTTCCGTCCATTCCATAAAGTCCATCAACCTGGTGATCTCACGTCCGAGGCTCTTAATTCTTTTCCAAGTCCCTTCTGCAGGTCTTCTTCATTTTCTTTAATGCTAGAGAGCCAATCTCGGGGAAATTCCAACCTGTCAATCCTTTTCTTCCTTCTGAACAAATCAGCTGAGTTTCCATAGTTAAAACCACAGTCCATAAAGTATTTCCGGGTATATTTCAAAATTCCTCCAATTCCAAAGGCCCCCAAAACTTCAATCTCCTCCAGGCCCGAGTCCATGTCCCAAAAGTCAATTAATCCCTGCATAGAGGGCTCTTTCCAACTTTCCTTCTTTAATCCAAACCGGGATCCATTCCTCGGAGTCTGGCTTTTCCTGGATTCAATCATAGAAGGCCTCAATTTATAATCTCCAATTTGCTTCTGTAAATCCACAGATCTCACTTGTATTATTTTATGTTGAACAACAGCTGCATTCTCCTTCTCCTTCTCCTCCTTCTCCTCCACCATTTGTCCTGCCAAAATGGGTTCCTGTACCAAGTCCTGAATTATTTCTGTGTTAGTGTTCGCTTTTTGACTCAAGTTGGTCACTTTCTGTTCCAAATTATCAACTTTGAGAGTCATATCATCCATCTTCTTGTGAAGCTGTCCCAGCGAACAGCTTATCTTACATAAAACAGTCACAATGGCCTCTCCTATCAACATTTTGAAATAGTCCAAGGTCGCTCTCTGGTTCCCAAACTCCTTTTCTGCAGCTGGAAATTCCCCAGTTACAGTCCTGTTACAGTTTCAAAAGCTCCCTCTAGAGGGAA